AAGGACGACTACCTGAAAAAGAAGTCTTGTCACAACAGAGTCCGTTGGTTTGAGAGACACTTATTAGAGCATGTTGCTTCAGGGGATAGGGATACCATACGGGAGCAGTTTAGAAGCATCGTAAGATGTATACAAAGACTTAGACTGCAACGGGGGCGCAACATAGTTAGATATAAGTTTTACCTACTAAGGATAGCCAGCATGAACAACATCACGTTAAGAAACCCTCCTGAGGACATTAAGACCAAAAGAATTGTGAACATCCTTGAGGACAGACTATATGGAAAGGTTTTCCCCGAGTTGGGATGGAAACCTTTGAAGTGTAAATATTATGACGGCTGGAAACTTAGAAATAAATAAAATATTAAATTATTAACTAATAATTATTAATTAAATAAAATAAAAATTATTAGTTAAATAAAATAAAAATTATTAAATAAAAATTATTAATTAAATAAAAATTATTAATTAAATTAAAAGTATTAAATTAAACAAAAATTAAATTATTAAATAAAAATTATTAAATTAAATATTAAACTATTAAATTAAATAAAAATTATTAAATTAAATAAAAATTAAATAGGCCTTAAAATAGGCCTATCTTTTTTTACCTATAGTATATAGAGAAAGAGTGAAAAAAATGGCGACAAACTTTGACATGAACGATATGACCGTTGAACAACTTATGGCGCTTGGTGAGATACTTGATGACAGCGATTATGAGGAAAGTTTTGAGGATGAAGTGGAGAGAATATCTGAGGACAAGTTCTATCGAGTTGCACCTAAGGACAAGGGCAAAGATCCCTTTGAAGGAGAAAGACAGTTCATAGATGAAGGTGACCGTTCTACAGACCCAAAAAGACCAAGGAGGCGCCCACTAAATGAGAAGGGTGAGAGAGGTATAATGCCAACATGGAAATATTCCGAGAGACAGAAGGCAAAGGCTTTACTAGTCGAGGAGGCATACCAGAGCTTACTTAGTAGAGGAGTTGAAGGTCTACCACCAACAATGGGAGGTAGATGGAGAACGGATGATCCTCAGGTAAATGCGGAGATGAAGAGGTTAGAGAACCTTAGGAACCCCAAGCGTCCTAGAGGCAGGCCACCAAAGGCTAAGGCTGACGGTGCTGTTAAGGCTCCTAGAGGTAGACCACCAAAGGCTAAGGTAGCCGGAAAACCAGAGGCTAAGGTCCCCAAACCACCAAAGGCTAAGGTAAGTAAAACACCAGAAGCTAAGGTCCCCAAAAGAAGAGGTAGACCACCAAAGGCTAAGGTAGCTGAAATACTGAAACCTAAGGTTAGAAGGCAAACAGTCGCGGAGAAGTTCATAAGTCAAAACCGAATAAAACTCTCAATTCCCGCGGATAGCGTAATAACTCAGGTGGGACCAAGTAAGTTCACGGTGACTGTGGACCTCAGCAGAAAACCAACGAGGAAAGCTCCTGAGGTACCGAAGGGTGTGGCTCCGTGGAAACCAGTTCCTAAGCCTAGAACTGTGATCCCTAAGGAAAGACCTGTTCCTAAACCTAGAACTATTCCTAGGGAAAGACCAATTCCCAAGCCTAGGACTAAAAAGCCAGTGCCTCCTCCAAAGTTAAGGAAGCCTGTGAAGGTAACCAAGGAAGTTGGGGAACAGCCGGTAGTGGTCGCACCAAAGGAACATGAAATCGATCCTTTTGGAACATACCTTGAGAAGCCATCCTATAGGAAAATAGAAACTGCCGCAAATGGTGCCGCTGTGACTTATTCCATAACTCCAAATTATATGGATCCCCTAGACCAGATGACCGCGAGTAGGCAGGTGGTGAGGGGAATATTAGTGAAGGAGTTGAAGAGAATGGGAGGGTTGAAATATACGGAAACCATCAAGGTAAGAATGTCGAAGGAAATTGGAAATGACAAAACAAAGAAGGATTCAATATACTTCAAGTCGAAAACTGGAACCGCGACCAACTTCGAGGGTATCGAAAGCACTGCAGCCCAAAACCAACTGACTATCTTATCCAGAATTGAAACCTTCCAGAACTTAGGTTCAAATTGGATTATACTAAACATTGAAAGTCATTACGTTAATATTGCAATGTACAAACCTCTAAAGGGTAGTTCATATATGAAGTTACCCGCAGACATTAGCAATCCAAAATGTGGCCTCATAAATATGCAAAACAATGACAATAAATGTTTTATGTGGAGTCATCTGAGACATGTGAGACCAAGGGCTAGAAGAGCAACCACCATAACACGGCAGGACAGAGAGTTCGCGAAAAACCTAGACTATGAGGGAATAGACTTCCCCGTGAAAATAAGCGACATTGATAAAATTGAGAAGAAGAACTCCATAAGCATATCAGTGTTTGGTTATAAGGGTAAGAAGCAGTTCTATCCAATTAGAAACTCCAAAACAAAATATGACGAGCATATGGAGCTGCTGCTGTTGGGTCACAACGAGGGTGGTAACCACTACGTTCTAATAAAGGATGTAAACAGAATGCTCTTCAGTGTTAGCGGAAACTCAAACAAGAAACACTTCTGCCTATACTGCCTTCACAGTTGCGTTAGTGAGGAGTCACTGGAAAAACATCGTGAAACATGTATTGAGGTAAATGGAACTCAAGCCACAAAGCTTCCGAGTGAGGGTACAAAAATAAAGTTCAAAAACCATAGGAACTCAATGCCCGCACCATTTGTAATATACGCCGATTTTGAGTCCATACTAGTTCCAGAAGAGAGAAAACTTGATTCTGAAGACCCTGAGGACAAGAGTACTACAGAACTATACCAGACCCACAAGGCCTGTAGTTTTGGGCTTAAAACAGTGTGCCACTACGATGACCAGTACTCCGGTGAATATATAAGCCACGTTGGTGAAGACGCCACAGTGGTCTTTTTGAAGACCGTACTGAAGGAGTCCATTAAGTGCCGAGAGATGGTAAATAAAATATTCAAGAAAAAGATGGAAATCACACCAGAGCAAGAAGCTGAGTTCTGGATGACAAGGAACTGCTCCATATGTGGCAACGACTTAGGTGATGACAGAGTGAGAGACCACGACCACGTAACTGGACTGTACCGTGGAGCTGCCCATAATATGTGCAACCTAAAATATAGAATCACATGGAAAGTTCCAGTGGTCTTCCACAACCTAAGAGGTTATGATAGCCATCTAATAATGCAGGAAATCGGTAAGTTTAAGATGAACATCAACGTGGTTCCAAATAACATGGAAAAATACATTTCCTTCTCATTAGGTAAAAGTCTTGTGTTCATTGACTCAATACAATTCATGGCTTCTTCCCTGGAGGCACTTGTGAGTAACCTTTCACCTGAAGACTTCAAGATAGTCGGTCAGCGGTGGCAAGGTGAGGACTTCGATCTTGTGAGACAAAAAGGTATATTCCCTTACGAATACCTGGATGACATAGGTAAACTTGACACTGAGGGACTTCCAAGTAAAGACAAATTCTACTCATCTCTATATGAGTCCGAAGTGAAAGAAGAAGATTACCAGAGAGCTCTAAAAGTTTGGGATCACTTTAAGATGAAAACAATGAGAGACTACCACGATCTTTACCTGGAAACCGACGTTCTTCTTCTAGCAGATGTTTTTGAGAATTTCAGGAGGACCTGCTTGGAAAACTACAAGCTTGACCCTGCTCACTACATATCAGCACCAAGTCTAAGTTGGGACGCATTCCTAAAACAGTCAGGAGAGGAAATAGAATTGGTAAGCGATATGGACATGTTCCAGTTCTTTGAGAAGGGAATGAGAGGTGGGAAAAGTCATATTGCCCATAGACACGCTACGGCAAATAATAAGTACATGGAAACGTACGACGAGACATCTGAAAACAAGTTCCTTATGTACCTCGATGCCAACAATTTATATGGCTGGGCAATGTCCCAACCTCTACCTAACGGCGAATTTGAGTGGGTTGAGGAAGTTGACAAGATAAACCTAGATGATTACCTTGAAGAAGGCAAAAGAAATATGGTCCTTGAGGTCGACATGGAATACCCAAAAGAACTTCACGATTTACATAACGGTTATCCTCTAGCCCCGGAGAGTAAGGAAATCGATGCGTCAATGTTGTCCGATTACGCAAGGGGTATTGCTGAGAAATTCCAGCTTACAATTGGAGGTGTAAGAAAACTGGTGAACTCCTTAGGTCCCAGGAAGAATTACGTCCTACATGCCCGTAATCTGAAACTCTATATGGAGCTTGGAATGAAACTTGTAAGGATTCATAGAGCGATTTTATTTAGGCAGTCAACTTGGTTGAAAAACTATATAGACTTCAATACTCAAAAACGGGCAGTAGCTAAGAATGCGTTTGAGAAAAACTTCTTCAAACTTATGAATAATTCCATCTACGGAAAGACTATGGAAAACCTGAGGAAGAGGGTTGACGTAAAATTAGTGTCATCGGAAAATGACCTCCTAAAACTTACAGCGTCGCCGTGCTTCCAGTCGCATAGGATTATGAATGAGAACTTAATTGTGGTAAAGAGAATGAAGGAAGTTCTAACTCTGAATAAACCGCGCTATGTGGGAATGAGTATATTAGACTTATCCCAGACTTTAATGTACGACTTCCATTACAACACAATCAAGAAGGAGTACGGTAATAAGTCGAAGCTTCTATTCACAGACACTGACAGTCTAATGTATGAGATTAAGACTGATGACGTGTATGAGGACTTCAAGAGGATAGGTCAGGAGAAGGACTGCTGGGACAACTCAGATTATCCGAAAGATTCTCCATATTACTCAGCTCACAATAAGAAGGTAATTGGAAAGTTTAAGGACGAAGCTGAAGGAGTACCAGTGATTGAATTTGTAGGGTTAAGGTCAAAGATGTACTCCTACGTAAAGGACAGCGGTGGAGGTGGAATGACAGCGAAAGGTGTGAAAAAGTACGTGATCAGAAACAAACTCACTCACGAAAACTTTAAGAACGTAATCAAGACCAAGGGTAGGATGAGACATAAGATGAACACGATTAGAAGCATCAAACATAAAATCGGAACTTACGAACTGAAGAAAATTACACTCAGCTGTTTTGATGATAAAAGATACCTACTTGAAGATGGTGTTACAAGTTACGCGTACGGACATCACTCAATAGGAAAAGTAAATTGTTAAATAATGTTGAAATAATAATGCTGAAAAAATAATGCCAAAAATAATAGAAAAAAATAACGCCAAAAATAATAGAAAAAATAATGCCAAAAATAATAGAAAAAATAATACCAAAAATAATAGAAAAATGGTCTAGAAAAATATGAGCCCGCGTTTTTGAGGGAAAAATATGGAAACCGCTGTCCGGAAGTTGGGTGAGACCGCGGGCCGAAAAAGTGGTCTAGAACCCTCATTCCCTATACTACTCAGATGCGCATGATCTTACCACGAGATGGTACTTGAATTGGTTAAAAAAGGTATTCAATTAGAACACTGTGGGATAGTATTTAAAACATAGGTAGGGGTATATAGCTTTACGTTTGTGGTTACACCAAGTAAATTTATTATTCCAACGTAACGCTTTCGATCCGTAAGCCCATATAATCCAACCTTTCACCGAACTTATATGTGATCTTTGAAACACGATAAAATACAACTACAAGTGACGTCACTTTGTTGAGTATAGTATTTCTACAGACAACACTAAAACGTACCCCAATTTTACATTTGAGCCAAAAACGGGGTAATATTTTAAACTTGTGCAAAAAACGGGGTAACATTGGAACGTCAGTTTGTCGAGTATAGTATTTCTATAGCAAAAAAAAAAATGTGCAAAGAACGGAATCATAGAAAAATTAGTTTTTCGTGGTGCCCGCCTCCCCCTCCAGTAGTGCCAACCTGGTATTCTGAGAATGGATGGTGTTTCATCAATTTTTTATTTATCGCAGTGATTGGTAATAGAGCGATGGATTTGATTTGTGCATTGAATATTACTATAAGTTTAATTAGCAGGTATTGTGATTTGTGGAGTATTAATGAACATGCAACCCACAGGTTAAAAAAACATTTTTCAGGACAATTTTGTTCGCCGAAGCAAGGAAAGAATTTGATAATTTCAAACAGTTTGTATATGACACATCGTCTAATCCAATTTTTCTCTTAGACACACTAATATGCCATACTTTCAGTCTTTTAGTTTTCAATTAGGTTTTAAAAATGTTTACAATTAGCAATTAGTCTTATTTAGTGTGTCGAAAAAGAGAAATCAGGCGATAGGTCATATACAAACTGTGTGAAAAATACACTTGGCCCCGCGGGTTGAATTTGAAAACACTTGACGGCACCACAATAGATTAAATTGTGTACACTGGGGTTTTTTTATTTTTGTTGAGGGCCGTAGGTAGACCGATAATTGGAGAGGGTGCATATTCATATATTCGTGTTCTGCCCGACGGATTTATTTTGAAAGCGCCGATTATGTGAACATGAATATATGAATCCCCCCCCCAATTATCGCGTCCAGCTACGGCTCCGCGGATGTAGGTTAGGAGGATGTAGATGCAAATTTGGATATGTTCATCCCTAATCCATTCCAGAGTTCGTTCCTAATACTAAGGGGCACCTGCTCACGGAATCAATTTTGTACAAATTAGTATTTAATTTACCCTCAATTCCTTATAAAAATGTTAAGCTAACATGATATTATTATTTACATTATTCTCATGGACGTTATGCCTGGTTTAATTCTTCCTGTTACCATCGCGCACGTCCGGAAATTTGCATATTTTTTATTTCAAAAGTGTAAATTCCCCACCCCCGGGCAAATAAAAAAAGACAATTCCCCACCCTGGGGACAATATCGGCTATTGCGTTCCGTTTATTTTCATGCTAACTTTTGCGTGATGTTTGTGTTGTCAAAAATGTTGCTTACTACTATTAAAAAGAACATTATAAACGACAGAGACGCAACTGGCGGTTTTAACCAATTACAGACAAACTCGAAATTGTTTCCAGTAAAACATTCCGCCGCCATTTTTGATAGATCTCGCGGGTTCGTAGGCTAAGTCCTATGTTCCCTACTTCCGGGACCAATGAAATTCCCCACCCTCGGGAATTTTCGGCGCACAAATCCCGGGGGGTTGGGGATGGTAACAGAAAGAATTGAACTACTGTATGCATTACTCTGTGAATATTATTAGTATGTACATTCAAAACTGATTTAATCTTCGCTATTGTCGATATCATCGTCGTCATCATCATCACCGAAGTCGTCATTGTCACTTTCCATGCTCTCCATGTTAAGCATGCTATAATACTTCGCAATTGCTTCTTCGGTAATGTCCTCGTCAAGATCATTTGCACTCTCAGTGTCGGTAACATCAATGTTAAATTGCTGTTTGAGCACACAAATGAACAGAGAAAGTAAACGTGTTCTTGAAGACAGTACAGCTATAATGCCACGATTGCCATAAGAAAGCTCGTCTGTCTTTAACGCCTTATACCAACTGTCAAGTTGATGTAGGTATTGCGAGGAGAAGTTAATGCAGTTGTTCATTTCATCTTTCAACATAACGACTTCTTCTTCACATCTTTTCTTCGTATTGAACATATTAATTAAGTGTTTTATAATTGATCTGGGTAAATTGCATTGTCCGTGCTCTCCATCCCATCCCATCCCACAAGGACGATTCGATATCGGTACACTGCTCAAAAGTCACTTCATCTGGATATTAAAAATCGACAATGGTTGAAAATTGACCAGCATTGGCGTTGTAGGAATTGACGGCTTTCTTTATCATACTCGTTTGTCTATTGATTTGCCCGCAAAGTTTCTTCGCAATACTTTGACCATTTAAAATAGAATAGCATGGTTTAACAGCCGTTCGTTAGCAATTACTAAATACAAATGGTTTACGATTGTCCATTTTGTCCGCAAGAAAGCTGATAGGAAATACTCAGTATTGCCATGCATCTCGTCAGCCGTCACGGGTTTTCCAGATTTAATTACAGTATATCACCATAAAATATCAAGTAACATCTTGCAAGGATCGAAACTGCATTGGATTGCAATAATGCGAAGCCGATCTCCAAAAGATGTTTCATTGATGAATGCGCGAGTAGCTTAAAGCAGTAGTGTTACCGTTTGTGCATATTTTTTGCGCATAACAAAAATACTTTAGGCCAAGGAGTAATGGCAGATGTCAAAGTACCAGTTAAGAGCAAGTACGCGTTTTTGATGCGTATAGTGCAGCATGCCAACTTGAAGAACTATGGGTAAACAACGGCAGTAGAGTAGTTTCCTCCAAGATAGTTTTCTAAGTTTCGTCATCCAAGAGAGTAAAATCTGTCAAACATACCTAAATGTGCGTGCGTCTACAAAGTTTTATTAATATTACGATTAATCTTGCTGTACCTGCATACTTCTTCATTTTATTGAAGTAAAAACCATCTTTCCGATGCCATATGGCGAATCTTCTCCAGTTGCTCCTTCCTGTTCTGTTTTTCCAAACTTCGTTTTGCTTCATAAAATGCGGGGCTGTCATCTGGCCATCTCGTCATCCCTTTTTCCATCTTCTTTAAGACGTTATCTAGCCTAAAATAAATTTATGCAAAACCTTTCATAAACTTATGAACCTAGTCTAGAGAGAGGGCCTAAAATGCGATTGCTTCAACAGTTTAGCCATACGCGCGTATATCACTGCTCATTTCATCACAATGAAGTCCACTGAAAGTCACTTACCTCTGTACATTTTGAACTGTAGTTCTCCATGCCGGTGAATCGGGAACACATTTAGAGTTTTTGGACCTCACATAGATAAGATTAAACAGTCAAAAAGTGAACGATCATATAGAAAATACAAACAACAATTTCATGCAGAAGTTCATTTTACGCGCGTAAAAAATTTCACATCTTGTATATCCAAAGTTGTTAACACGTTTGAAATAAGCTGTTAACAATTTGTAACAACCTTGTTGATATTATCAGGCTTGTTATTATAAGGTTGTCCCAGCAAATTCGATAGTCATGATATAGCAGTATTGTTACAACCTTGTGTCGTCAACCTTATAACATCCTTGTTTAGCATGACTCTATCAGACTTGTTAGAATGACCTTGTAATAAGTCTGATAATGTCATCAAGTTTGTTACAAGTTGTTATAACAGCTTGTTCTAAACTTGTTACAACAACTGGGAACAAGCAGTGCGAACACAACTTGTCGACGGCTTGTGAACAGACTTGTAACAACTTGTTTGCAGATCTGTAACAACTTGTGCGTTTTTACGTGCGCAGAACCGTCGTCAGGGAACATGCGATATACACGCAATTTATCATGTAAACAACTTACCTTGCAGAATAGAATTGTTGCGGTCTTTCTACATATTCAAAATTTAAAGACCCAAACTCTTTGCTTCACGCCGGGTCAGCTCTTCCCAAAAATCGGCCATTTGATATAAACTTTTTCAATATATTTCGGATGGACATGAAACTTGCTACATCAATATAACTTTCCATTCCGAACAATCGTATGTTTTTTATTTTTGAGATTTAACGGTTTGTGGCGGGAAAATGACGTCACGAAACCTCCAGTTAAAATTTATTTTCAATATCTTAATAGTTTTTAAGCAGAATGTGGAAGATCATGTCATGAAGAGTTGAAAACTGAAAACAGATTTTAAATATCTTAATCTAATCACGAGATACAAGGAGTTTAGAATCGAATTTTCCACCATTTTGTTACTATTTATAGATTTTTCACGGTTTTTATAGTGAAATAACTTTGGATTAGTTTTAGATATTTAAAATCCGTTTTCAGTTTTGAACTGCTCATGATATGTTCTTCCAAATTCTGCGACAAAACTATTAAGATATTGAAAATAAATTTTAACTGGAGGTTTCGTGACGTCATTTTCCCGCCAAAAACCGTTAAATCTCAAAAATAAAAAACATACGATTGTTCGGAATGGAAAGTTATATTGATGTAGCAAGTTTCATGTCCATCCGAAATATATTGAAAAAGTTTATATCAAATGGCCGATTTTTGGGAAGAGCTGACCCGGCGTGCTTGTATCTGTTTGAAGAAGAAAAAAATAGTTTCTTACAACATTTGATGTCGCAATCTAAAATGCTGCATTACCAATGGAATCTAGTAAGCTGGTGGACGTACACATTTACTTCTGTCTTCTGCAAGACTTTTCCACAAAAAATTCTTTAAGTTAAAGAAAAGTCTTCCAAATAATATTATATTAACATTAACTAAAAAAACGAAATGCTCCTTCATGAAATATAATTACATACTTGACATCTGGAATTTTTGAAGGTAAGTTTCTTTTTCTTCTTCCACCCATGTCTGGACTTCTGCTTGTAAGGTGTTCTCTGTATTACCGCATCAACAAAAGAACATAAAACGTCATTTGCGAAGTACAAAATCTTATCGGGTTTGAGGATATGTGTACTCAAAATCTTGGTTAGCTTCGGCAGGTTAGCTTTTCTACTCCTGTATATGTATATGCAGTAAGTTTGTTTGTTTCCGTGTGTGTGTCAGCCCCATAACACAACAAATAAATGTATCATACAAAAATTTCTAGGACATTCAAATACTGCATAGAAATCTAAATAGACTTCACTGAACGTTTTTTAAATAACTTTTTAATTGGAAATTACTTATATTTTGACTATACATGCAGGATTGTGCATGTGTATGACGACGATTTATTAATTAACCTACTCACTGTTGCTTCTAGGTGAATTAACCGTAGCGGCTTTTTAGAAGTGGCGGCTTTTTAAAAACGTATAGCAGCGATATATTGTACACAACCAGCTAAATTATTTTTAACACGCGAACTCAATTGATTCAAACGATTTTAGTTTCATTGCATAAAATACTCACCACTCTTTCCAAGTTTTGAAGATAGAAGAGTTAATTCTTTGCTGCTGTACTTCTGCATCTGCAAGGTTTTTTGCAACCGTTGGCATAATAAATCACCTAAATGAAGAGAAGGTACAGGTAGCCACATAAAAAGAGTTTAACGTGGATGCTGATTGGTTGAGAGGAGTACAATTATTTCATTAATTGTACTGCAGTACAATTAATAATTTTCCCAAAACAAACAAAATGGCGGAAACGTATTTTAAACACAAGCGTGAAATGAAATTGCCGTGGAAGAACTAGATGAAAATACGAACAAACGCACCAAATTTTGCTTTAACAAAAGAACTAAATGAAAATACAAACAAAAGCACCAAATTTTGGTTGAATGTCTGGCAGGACTGGGCTTTGGCAAGAGAATATGATGTTGACATTGAGAAGTACGTATCCAATTTTGTCATGCTAATAATAAACAAGTAATCGTGCGATGTTGCTCGTACAATTAAGGATTAATAGTACTCGTGATGTTTGGAAATTTACCAAATTGGA